TTATATTGATATTAATGGTCAGGTTCTTTTAGATTGATATTGAGGTCAAAGCGATTTTATTTTGAAATTAGAACGTTGATTTGTATTTGTTCAATTTTTTCTTGAAAAAACAAAAATATTAAAATCCTTGTAATTCCCAAATAGTTTTTGAAAGCTTTCCAGAATGATTTTGAAAATGTATTATAGTGGCTGGCGACTTGTACGTAAGTAGCCAGTTTATGAAGAAATACCGCTTTCAAATTGTCCTCAAACTCCTTTCGTTTATTTTTAGGTTAATATGTCTTGCCAACTGGCCTTGTCAGCCGGTTGCACGGAGTTGTGACGAAGTGATTGTTCCACTGTGGAGAAACGAAGTGTTTGATCTTCTCAGGCCCACGCTTGGCCTCTCCTTTTGAACACAATAGCGGGGTTGGGGGCGTCTAATCTTTCTTATCTCAAGCGAACAGGAACCTTTGGTTTGGAAAGGGGTTGATATTGACCATTTTATATTTGTTTAGCCTTCATTGATTCATAAATAAAGGTGAGTCATTTCATGCGGTAAAAAAAACAGCTGCGTATTCCGTATAACAAGCCATATACCTTGGTAGACTCGGAAGGGTATATTCCCGTGGAAAGCATTGTTTAAAAAAAATCCGTTTTCGTCGCAACTTGTAGATCATCGGTGTTAACTGCGCATTTACAAGACGCGAAATACTGTTGTGGAATCGGGATATTATTAACGTCATTTGTGAATATCGAGTCTCTGCAAATATGACGGTCTGAAATCGACCGCGATCGCAGGACTGCGTGCGACGCTGGCGATGTAATTTGCACAATAATTCCGACAATTCGTAAGTTTACAGTTTTTGTACACAAGAAAGTAGATTTTTTCTTCGACAGAAGTTAGAACTGTCCTCAGATCTTGGGCTCACTCGAAGGACAACCTTTTGGGTAAAATAATTACGAAAAAAGAGAAATATTCAAGAAACTGCTGCCCTGAAAAGAAGCAAAACGACATTAGAAACATTTGTTCACGTAATGTAGGAGGACGGTGATAATTTGTTGTTTTTTTCCCGCTTGAAATGACTTAATCTTGTATACGTCCGTACATTCTTGAACTGTATTCTCAATTACGTACAAACACAACATTGACGATCTTCGTATACAGAGAGATTTCTATAAGAAGGGGCCGCTTTGACATCTACTACTTGGCTACTGCTGGCAAATAACTGCAGGTTATGACCATACTCTCGATTCGTCAATGCGTTCGTTTACAATTAGCCAACTTGTAAATGACTTCATCACTATCTCTTGCAATGCTATCGTTCTACATGACATTTATTTTTTCCCGTCCTGTCAAAGTGCTCCTTCGTAAAGTCACTTCTATGTAGCTGAAAATATTGAATGAGCGAGTCGTGGCTTCGCTTTCACCTGGCAGACTCAGCTGCCAAAAACTACGCGCTACTCAGACTTCTGGTAGCCTTTTTGGGCAACCTCAAATTGATATACAACTGAAAAACGAATTATTAACATTTAATTTTTAACGAGGATTCTCGGAATGCACGTAGGTAGTTCTACGAGCTCTATTTAGTTCGATTATTTGGAGAAAAAATACGTTAGTAAAATAACGACAAAAGAACATATTTTACGTGTAATTTATTGAGTAAGGATGTAGTAGTATGAATGTAGAGAAGATATTCAAGAGGAAATTTCTTGATATCACTGGCTCCTGGAATAATATCATGAAAGGCATGGAAGTTATTGTAAAAAATGACTTCAGTATGTTTTGGGTGTATTCTAAAATACCTATTTAACAATTAAAAGAAACATACTCGTAGTTTAAAATAATAAGAAACACTAAACCATTAGCTAATTGAATGAACAACACCTGCGATCACATCGCTCCAAACTGAGAAGTTACAATTAACTGCTCATTTCATTAGTTTAGGAGAATAGGTACTACACGACATGAAACCTTTTTGGGGTGTCCGATTTTCTGTATAGGGCATATGTAGAACTTTTGTTTTAACGTCTATACAGCTCTTCCTTTTGTGCGATATTATCGCAGGGGTTCAGGTAGTAGTCATTTAAATTAAAGGACGATTGGCTCACATATAGTTTAACTTAATTCGTGGCGGAGAATACTATTGCTAAGTTTATCATTTCCTGTGTGGTTGATTTCTGCGAATCAAATGAAATTGTTTGTCGTTCTAGAGATGTGAAGGTTAATGTGTGAGCATAATAATTGTATGATAGGTCCTGAGGGTTGCGTGAATTAATTTTTGGAACCATAAAGTTTTGGGTACAGTAGCACACATAGGATGCAAGGGAAAATGCGCTTGTTTTGATCGTGAGAAATTTCGAAATTATGAGACGAGAACCTAGCTCTTTGGTCCAAAGCCTCCGGTCTGTTGTTCTTGGAGAGAAGCTCCGCGAAAGCCTTGAGGCCGTGGGTGCGAGCTTTTGGGCGTATGTGCTGCGCTGTCGACGCTTCAGGGAAACTGCGGATTTGTATAGAGCTGTGGTTCCCAGTCAGTATTGTGGGGATTCTCAGGTGCCGGAAACTTTCCAAATTGATTTCGCATTTTATGCCAGCCGGAAAAGTTGTATGAAGCAGCAACTGCATTTAAGACACTGAAATTCTTTTTTATGAGTTTTTATGAGAATACAGAGAACTAGCTACTCTCATACTGTGACGTTCTTTCGGAATCTGAACGGGCTGTCGTCTCTTTTTTTTCTCGAATTTGTAAGAAAAGAATGTATTGCAATTATTCTACGGAAATAGGCGATTTTGCGACAAACACTTTTTGCGTGGGCCTGGTAACGAAAAAGTGGATAATTTTTATTCCTACATGTATGAAAATACTTTTTCTAACACTTGCAGTTAGAATCCATGTTTTATGGATCCTTGGTACCTAAATATTGAATAACGGCAAAACGTCTACCTAAAGCTACAATTTTGAAGATTAGAGATTTTTCCCTTAATCCCTCTAATTTGAGGTTCAAAGACATCTTTAAATAAGGTCTTATACAATTTTTCGAAAATATTAGTAGTTTTCGCGTAATTTTGCGTGAAATATAGGTAATGTTTAAACATATTTCTAAAAATCATTTTCAAAAAAAAGGCTCCAGATTTTCTCTTTAAATCTTTTCTTGGAATAGAACAAATGATGCTTTAAAAATGTCACTGGCCCCATTTTCGGTAAACACTTGTATTTTCGAAAATTGCGAAAGTACAGTATTGAAAATAGACTGTTGGTTCTTGAAATGAAATCGGACTTGAAAATTAGATGTTAAAAATTATGTAATTTACTACTTTTATGTTCTCATAATTTACATTTAAAGTTAATGCAATTTATGAAAATCTAAAACAGCTCCAACATTTAAAAAAAGTCCATGTATAGAGCAAACAAGACGCTTAAAAAATGGCACAGGTCTAATTTTCGATGAACTCTAAATTTTCGGAAATTGAAGTTAAAAATAATGCGAGAAAGCATGTTGTGTTCTAGCTTACATAGATGTTTTGAAGTGCCAATATTATTCCTATTTCGTTTTGAGTTCTTACATTGTCTTTTTAGATTCTTCTACCGGAAACAAATCTGCTAATGCAAAAATTCCGTAGGTGTGCAAGGCTGATATCGGCGAAAGAGGAAAACAAGCAAATGGGCTGCGTGGCTTCTAAGAAACGTTCCGGAGGTTGAGTTCTGCTTTTTCCTGGAGAGTTCTCGGTGGACGACGTCAGAATGTTGCACGAGGTGCTCGCGTGGGGGCGAGGAACGGAGCCTCCACCTTCCTCCACCTGCGCCCGTCCGCCTGGGCATCTTGCCGCAATGGTTATCTGCGGACAGATAAAGCGACGCTGATAAGCCGTGGGCGCGGGCCCTGACCGTGAACTCTTTACGCCTTTCGGTCCGTGTCCTCGGCGGGCGTCGCTCTGACGCGATGCACTGCACCCCGAGAGATTGGGGAAGGAGGCAATGAGTCATTTGTGTGAAATATTGCTGAAGCGATACGAGGGCGTCTCCTAGACCCCCTCGGTTAGAAAAAAATTGCCTCCAATATGCCATTTTCTGAAGGATTGGTAGTAATAAATTGATGTCACGATGACTGATGTTTGTGTTGATGAACGCAGTCTTCGAAATAGTGTGTGACGGGTGCGATAAATCGATCGATTTATCCTAGGAATTCAACTCTCATGATGGATCGAATCTAACATTATGATAGAAAAAAATTTGAAATATACTATGTTGACTTGCCGGGAAAAGGAAAACCAGTCCTCATTTTTAAGACGATCTATATAACGAGGATATGATGCGATATTAAAATGTTGTTCAACAGTTTCACGTGCCTGTTATCTTGGCTCTAATACCATAGTTTCTGAAAGACGACGCAGGTTATCGTAGGAAGAATGTCCAAGAAATCTTGGAAATTTCTTTTATGTTGTTTTATGCGACTTCGGTATGCAAGGTTTTGGCGACTTAAGTATGTGAATGATAATTGGCGCTAAAGAGATACGCACTGTTTTGCGTTTGGACCTTCCGCGCCACAACCGTGGAAACACTCGTGATTCGAACCTTTAATTTCAACGCTGCATCTGTCAATGTGTTGGGTAGAAATCTTTTCTCAAGAGATCAATGAGGAGCGTTTCTCGGATGGGAAGGTTGTACACAACGGAAAGAAACGTTACCAAATTGAAGAAAACGCGTGGTTACGATTCTGAGGGGGTGGAAAGGGATTGTATCGCTCGTGCATCTGTAGAGCGCAGGCGCTCGAAGCGACATGGCAGAGAAGCGAGGTTTCGAGCGAAGGCGATGACTCCTCACGAACGCTTCCTCACGTGCTTTCGTTTAGCACCCATCGCCATGAGATGGCATCGGCGCTTGCGCGGACGCCCGCTCGGGCAGGAGAGCGTGGGAAGTGGCAGCAGCAACGGCGGCAGCAACAGCGCACAGCAGAGCGTGCGTTGGCTGGGGGTGAGGGGCGGCGAGGCGGGAGAGTGAACGAGGAGGCGTGCCCCTCAGGTGCGCGTGAGCCATGAAGAAGGAAAAGCAGCAGCAGCCACAGCCGCCGGCGCCGCGCGCCGCCGCCGCCGAGGACTTCATCTTGCGCGAGCGCGGCCAGCTGAAGGCGCAGGAGCAGGCGCCGGTGCAGGCGCCCGCCAAGGGCGCCGCCGCCGCCGCCGCTCTCAGCAAGACGGTGCGCCGCGGTGAGCCATTCTTCATTACGGCGAAGGAGACGCGCAAGGGGCGAGATTTATCATCTCAAATGTGTCGGTCATTCTCTTCCTCTTTCCCAGTGTTCTACTTTTGGAGAATGGTAATTGAGAGTCGTCTTACAAACTGGTTCAAATTACTCCAAATTAGATTTTAAAAAATTACGTTTCACCTGTTGTTTCTTTTTTTTTTACTTTTTCGTATACGTTCGTACATATGCAGTAATATACTTAGTAATTAGAAAGTTGTGTAATGCTGCGGAAAGTCGATTTCGAGATTTTAGCGAAAAGATTCGTTTTGGTGAGCCCTGATACGGAAATTGTTTTTTTCTCAAAACGTCCACCTGTGAACACCACCACTTTAAACCATTCATATTTCCATTTTTTAAAGAATGAATATACCTGTCCCCATCCGCCCCGAGTAGGGTGGGTGCGTCACAATGTCCCATCCCAACGACGCGAGCAGATCCTGAGTGGTATGGGGTCTGGTGTTTTCAGTATCCCACGAGTCAGCATCCCTCTTCATTTAGCTTTGATTTTTTGTTTCAACTTCTTTATGGTTCTTACAATGTGCAGCAGCATTAATGATGATCCCTTTGGGCATGAAATCGACAATCAAGATCTCGTTCCGGCCCCAAAAGAAGGATGCCATATTTTTTTCTGTGAATATTGTTTGTGTGAGTGTGTGTGTCTGTTTTCGAATGAGTATAGCATTAATTCCATCTGCACCAATGTTAAGAAACCGTCTATATAAATTGCTTTCAATCGTGGAAAAAATATTAGCCAGTGACCTGAACAGCCTCCATATTCTTACTTTCTAAATGTCCCTCGTATTAGAGGTCCGAAAGTTTAAAAACTGAAAAAAGTGTGTTTTTTGATAAAACATTTTCCCAATATAAATATTTTATGAATCTAATCCACTGCGTTAACTGATAAGTACAACAGAACGTATGATTATTAACTGATACGTACTGTTAATATTAGTTCTGTTAATATTAATTGTTCTGTTAATATTATTTGTATAGAGTTAATAATGATAAACATGTTTATTAGAGAGCGTGGTATTGTCAGATTTAAATGATAAAGTAACATGATTTGAATTGTTTCTACGGAAACGAATGGTGGAAAAGTTAAGTGCATAGCTTCAATGCTACAAAACCTATCAAAGGCTGTGTAGGCATAAAAAGTTCATTTTTAGTTCTGTTATTAGTTTTATAAAATTATTTTATTTCATACAGTAACAGGTTTACAAATAGCATGGTCAAATGATTCGCTCTCCGGGGAGAGGGGTTTCGGGCATGAGAGCTCAACTACGTGGATGCTGAAGCTGTAGATTTGAAAGCCCCAAAGTTTGAATGTCTTAAAGTGTGTACGTAGTGGGCGGGTAGGAGGCATACCAAGCCCCCTCTACATCTACCCTAATAATTTCACAATCTCTCAGGTCGCCAAGCAAAGTGTGCGACGTGCTTGTGTAATAGAGGAACGAAATATATTTCAATCCACAGAGCAATGGTACAAGCCCCGAAATGGGCCTAAGGGATACAAAAGACATATGTGTATAAGTTCGAGGAAGAGATAAGTGAATGAGTTCTGTAAGCGTGAAAGTATTTTACTGCGACTGGCAGGTCATTTAGGGGTCGGAAGAGTGTAGGGGCCTCTGCAACTACCTCTACTACTGTTCCACCTCCACATCTTTCTCTCTCTTCCTCTCCCCCTCCCCCTTTCTCTCTCTGTCTGTCGCAATGGCCTCCAACTCCGCCTTTGCCTGTGGCTCTGCCTTTGCCTTTTCTTTCGTTTTATGCCTTTGCCTTTTTCTTTACTTCCATATTTGCATGTATTTTCCTCCACCTGTGCCTTTCCTTTTGTCATTGCCCCTGCCTTTGGCATTGCCTCCCCTTTTGCCTTTACATTTATCTTTCTCTCCTCCTTTGTCATTTTCTCCGCCTTTATCTTTACCTCTGCCTTTGCCTTTGCCTTTGCCTTTGCCTCTTCCTTCGCCCCTGCCGCCCCTGCGTCTAGCTGTTTCTGCACCTCTACCTCTGCCTCTACCAACACGTACCACCGCTTCGAAACCCGCCTTCAACCGGAACTCTCGCTTCTGGCAGGAGCCCCCGTGTTGTTCACTTTCTCCTCTTGATTAATGCAGCAAGAGAAAGTTGCGTTCTTGGACATTGTTAATCTCACTTTTATTACTTGCACCAGATATTGAAGAGCGTTTCCTCGATATCCAGCAAATTGTACTAACCAAACGAACGGATGCGTGCGTATCGGACGAATGGACTTACTGTGATGTCTGACACCTTTGTGTCTTTGAGAATAATTGCATGTAATCGCCATTTAACATTGTTAGAGGGGTGTCGTTTTTTATTGTCTTTAAAACCAGAATCGGCTTCGAAATAACGTGAGCTATTGGAGTGCTTACTGAATCAGAAGCCTAATGCAGCAAAACCAGTTCGTTGAAGGAACATCCTTCCATTGGGTGTGGTCGTGAGATTTCCTAAGTTCATGTGGTCGCACACACACAATAAACTTAGATCTAATCATAAAATTTTCACGCATGACCACAATCTCCAATGCATCAAGTGGCCCCTGAGGCCCAAGTAATGAACGAACAACCGTCGCACTCAAGCACTAACGATGTAACGCCACTGAAATGAAAGTTGATAAGTCAATGTCTTCATTGATTTATTAAAAGAATGTTATAAAATGTACCCGGTCGTGCGAGCATTTTTTTTAAATCTTAAGAAATGAGGCAAACGGACCTGTATTTTTTACAAAAATGGCATGCTAAAAGGAATTTATTCTACGTAAATACTTTTTATCGTTCGCCGAAGATTCGGGCCGCGTCGCCCGGGGAGTTGAGGACTTGCTTGGCCAGCGAAGCGCTAACTCATCGCCAGTGGAGACTATCACTGAGAACTGTGGCACTAACGCTGCACTCAACTTACCTTACGGAAAAATGTTGAAAGTGATGTCCTTCGGCTCGAATGCATCCCTGTGCACCTCCGGAACATGATCCGGATTTACCCTTTGAATTATATCTCGAGGAACTGCTATTTTCCCTTCAGTAGAGCGCCTGTTGTGCTAGACGCTTCAAAGATTTTCTTGGATATTGTTGTAACGCGGCAGAAATTTCGTTAATCTTCTCTTCTGTCAGGACATGGTGTTTTCGGCACTTTTGTTTATCAATTAACATTCCTTGGGTGCAAAGTTTCTTGCCAAGCTTCAAAATTGTTGAACGATGTGAAATATTCACGCATAGAAATTTGTTAATATACCTCTTGCAGCACTTACTGGTAGGCTTAAATCGAACGAAGATGTCATGAAGGAATATTCTCTGCATCAAAGAAAATTTAATTACGCACAGTTGAACGCTGTCGGAATATTGGTGTACTGGCCGGTCGCGCCGGATGAACGAGGACCCTTGTTGACAAGTCCCCGGGTTACCGAGAGCTCGATCGCTGAGGCAAGCGGCGCGTCATCTTCGGTGAAAGATAAAATGTACACCCAGTATTAGTGCAAAAAGACATGTAAACGAAGAACAATCATTATTTAAAATAATTTTCATTGTAAAAAAATCATAAAAATTAAAATGATTTATAATTTTATACTCCAAAAGATCAACACAGTCATACTAGAAGGGAACGATCATTTCTTTGTAATATTGATTGCATATGACAACCAGTTTTTTGTTATTTTTTTTTGCCACATTCTGCCTTTCAATATTATTTTTCTGTTTCATTACCGATAATTGATCGTCGTGGCACACTAAATTTCGGGATGATTGATTAACCCAATTTTATTAATCCTTGACACTTCACGAAATGCTATTGTGGCTTCTTTTGAATCTTCAAATGGCATCAGTGAAAACATTATTTTCGTTTTTTGTACTTCTGTAATCGTGGTGGTAATCACTGGGGAAAAACCGCTGTCTACTGTGTACTATGTACCATCCTCGAAAGGGATCGGAGACCATTCTCAGAAGCAGGATGGAATTCCTCTTGAGCGGACAGCCTATCTGCAACAATGAAAGAAGTCCATCCAAAAATCTTGACTGGCATCACCTCACTTTCTCGTAGCGATTTTTACCAATTCCTGAAGCTGAAGTTCAACTCTTCTTGCCTTTATACATCGTGTCTGAGCTTACAGAGAAAGGCAAAACGCGACAGGACCTTCGTTTTGTTCAAGCTTTTGGTTGTGAGGAACGACAGCCTTTTCTCTCCGCTTACTGGTATGTTTCCAGTTCCATGGAGATCGGTGCCAGGACGAAAGGAAAATAATGACGTAAAAAGTAAAAACTAGGTCAAAATAAGGAAAAGGCCTAAAAATGCAAAATGGAAATCTTCTTAAAACACCTCCAGATGTAAAAAGTTATTCGTATTGTCAAAAGTCTTAACGCCGTGTAAATAAACCACAGTCTGACCGGAAGGTCCTAAGTTCGAGTCCCGTCGGTTGCAGGATTTTCGACACTAGCTTGTCACTTAGGTCGAGTAACGTCACTGGCTGGAGAAGAATTCTAGCGGCAGGCTGCTCTGATTGGTATATTTCCGTGCTTTCTCCGATCAACACCAGGCGAATGCCGGAGCAGTGCCCTACCAAACGGGCCACGGACTTCGCGCGATCTTTCCTTCTTCCTCCTTGTCTTGTCTTCCTCTTACACGCGCTCTAACATGCACTACACTGCCACACATTCCGGAAGACCGGTCGGGAACTTAGAGCTTGTCTCGGTTGGGACGGTGCCCCGCTGGTGGGAGATACCTGGTTGGGGAAAATCCCTCTAGCTGACGGTAAGTCGGTGCCGCATCTTGCCTTTCAGTGGGAGAGGACCACTTCCACCTCCCGAGAGGAAACATGCATTACACTTACGGAACTAATAACAGTAGCCTATGTCGCACCCGGCTTCACTAACAACCAACCAATCGTGTAAACAATCAAAAGGCACTTTACTAAACTATTCTAGCGCCACTTTTTCGTGGAACCGATTTCTTTATTAGTCACTGGCAAATGTGCACTCTTTTCAGCAACCACCTGAATAAGCCACCAGCAGCCAGGTACTTACCTAAATTGACCTTTATTAAGCGATCATCTCAAGCGAGTTTGAACTGTATTATAACAAGAATCGAAAATGTGAAGGAGATAACACTATTAATTAAATATCTCACACTCAAACGCATTGTCAGATTAGTTCAAATACATTTTGTAAAAGATACCAGATAATGATATATAATATATTATTTCTCTGTATTACAGAATCCGTTTGTTAACTCGTGTTTCCCTTTAGTGAAATCGATTAAGGGCTCTCGGAACACCTCGCTTGCGCGAATCCGATATGAAGATCATTCGCTAACTCCTTTGTCAAACAGTCCTGATGTTACGTTTGTTCTACAGGGTATGAATTGCGTGTTCTAGTCTAGTTTGCTTTGCCGGCGTGGGCGGAAAGTGAGTTTCTTGACTAAAAGTATGTGGGACAATGAAAGGTGTGTTTTGATAATTGGCCGAAAGGAGGCAAATAACGGTAAATAATTTGTTAAAATTGTGTTTAGTCATTTATGGCAATTAAAACTTTTGAAGAGATCTTATTTCATAGCATGTAGCACAAGTAAATTTGATTTGCGTTTTCAGTAGCCTCATAACCTTAATTAAGCGGCAACCTCAATAAGCGGCACATTTTTTGCCTATACTGTTGGTGGCAGCAAGTCAAATTTCATTGTATATGCATATACACACATACACAAACACATCCATAGGCATCTAGATACACAGTGATATACATTTCCCCACCCTTCGAATAGTAAAAAGTAGATACATTTTTATTTACAGTTTTTTTGATGCAGTATAACCACATGGATTATTAAACTAGCTCTCGAAATATCCCAATCACGACCCCCACACTGTCACTTCATTGCACTTGACTACTCTATACTTTCACCTTAACATTCTTTGGTTATGCCAAATAGCTAATTGATATATTTTGTCGCTACATACGGTGTGTATCGTATTTTTCGACTCTCCAAAGGGCCCTTTTTAAGTGGTGTCGTTGCCAAGTGAAGTGACTTCCTCGCTATTGTAGCAATAAAAGTAATGGGTTCCCTTACCTCAGGCCGTGGCGTAAATAAACGCCCAGATTACAACACGATACCCGTGTAGTAGTTACGCCTCCCATGTGGTATTCCAATCAAACATTCTTTATAGTTTCAGAAAACCTAAGTGATTTACTTTTCACGGCGTTTATCTTCATTTTATTTATGTGGGTCCAGGGATGTACTGGTATAGTACCTAGATCATTTTGAAGTATATAATAATATTATCGCCCGTGAAAATAGGTGGTGTGAAATTAGCCCGTGAACATGCGAGGTGCGGAAGGGGGAGTGGAACACTTCCGTTTCCGTCCCTCTCGAAGCCCCTTGGGAGACTGCCGCCGCTTTCCCCCCGCCCCATCCCACTCCTGTGCCGCATCCTGAGGGGCAGAAGGGTGCCGAGGCGACCGCTGCACACCGGCAAAGCGGCTGACCCCGAACTTGAAACCTAATCTGAGTGCCCCCCAACGCCTGTGTTTCAGGCTCTAAGTCACCTCGTTGACTCAGTCTGACTTTTCATCGACTAGTTGAATTCCATCCCTTTGTTCGTTTGTTGACGCACATTACATGAAGATTCTTTTTTTTTATGGCGTGATCATCTACGGAGTTCTTGTGCCAGTCAGACGATTTTTCGTCTAGTATATTCGAGTATTTTTCTATGCTTTTTTATATGACTTATTTTTCTTTGCTTTTTTTAAGACTTATTTTTCTTTGCTTTATCGTTGTAAGTATATTTATAGGCATATTCTCACATAATTCAATTTCTGTTTTCAGGAAAGACATTCTGCCAAAACTGCAAAAAGAAATGTTCTGGGGAAGTGCTGAGAGTACAGGACAAGTACTTTCACATCGCTTGTTTCAAATGCAAAGGTATGTAACCGTTCAAATTCGCCACACGTTACGATTAGCTAAACTATTACTCTAAGGGACACAATAATCATTTGTGTTCAATGGACTCGATGAGGTATATATGAACGCTGGAGCTGATACACAATACGAATATATCGCGGTCAAGGAATATGCTGGTTAATTTATTTACTTATTGTTTCTTGTATTTTCTGCCAACTCCTGTTTCTGGAATTCCTTTTAATCAATTACATTGATCACTAAAAAGAAAACATATCCAATACAATTATGTATGACCACGTAATGTGTTTTTTCAAGATAATTTGCCGCCACTGCGGCGTATCTGAAAGAGCATCCCTAGAGCACCCCCTTGCAGTTGGCGGATTTTCGCCATTTGCTACATAGGTAGCTCGAATTCAGCTGTTGTCTCGAGGAGAATTCTAGCGACCGGCTGCTCTGATTGTTTGTTTTCCGTGTTTTTCCTTATCGATATAAGGCGACTTCCAAAGTAGTGTCTATGCAAACGGGCCAAGAACCGCGCGCAATTTTCACTTCCTCACCCTTCCTTTCCCCTTACCCACAAAGACGGGTGACCATCCGGGAGCTAATATCTCTCCCCCTTCTGGGCCGGTACCCCGCTGGCGGAGCTATAGAGATACTATTAAGAACATGTAAGAATACTTTTATAAGAAGGCACCGCTTTGACGGCTACTGCTTGGCCACTGCTCTCAAAATAACTGCATGTTACGTCCTTGCAAACATTTTTTCAGTGCATTCGTTTACAGTTAGCTTATTTGTAAATGGCTTCATCACTATCTCTTGCAATGTCATCGTCTTGCGTGACGTTCATTTGTTTCCCAACCGGACGGCACCGGATTTTACATTTCACAGAACACCACCACCTCTCGGTTAATGCTCTAAACTTGCGAGAGCTATTAACCTTAGTAATTGACACATATTTAAATAATCTATTAATTCAATATCTGTATTAAGGCATCCAAACTACTTCCCATTCTACTAGAATGAAGGAGAAGCAATGAAATTATGGTCCTTATTTAATTTTGTGTTTAAATCATTGATATGCATGCTGTTAAGGATGCTTCTTTTCTGATTTACCAAAATGTGCAATGTTTTGTAGGCTGGTCATGATGAGGCCATTGATGTTTTTTAATGATTTATGAATTGATGATAATGTTTTAGTAATGTTTTAGTGATGAATGATTTAATTTCACATAGATTTCTAATTTCTGACATCTCAGTATGCTAAGGAGTGGAGGTACCCAGAACTGAATCTTCAAATACGTAGCAGAATGTTTAAAATGATACCATTCTGTAGTACACTGTTTAAGAAACAAACTATGGATCCATTCCGGATGGCCGAAATCGTAAAAGCAGTAGTGCCGTAGCGATCTCGGACTGAAGGATCGCGGGTTCGAGTCCAGCCTCGGAAATGGTTGTATTCGTATTCGTCCTTTCACCCCCTAACATCACCATATCATGCCATCTTCACAGTTACCATACGTTCAATCCAATAGTGTTCACTAATAGTGGTTGATGCGACCTTAAAACAACACGCACACAAAGGATCCATCGCCCCCCCCCCCTCTGCATGTTTCCCCGCGTATTCCCACTCATTTTCTCCGTCCCTTCATCGGATGCCCCCACAAGTTCCCTCGCATGTTTCGCAAGACCAATGTTTCCCACTTGTTCAGCGCACATTTTAACCAGGATATTAAACTGGAAATTCAAAAATGTAATACATTTTTTATTGTTACGATAATACGTAATTAACGATTACGTAAATAAATCAACTGCTGATGTTCTTCAGAGAGCTTCAAATGCAAGTTTTATGTTTCAATATATCAGGAAGTACGAGTATGATTACACATCGGGATTGTTCAAAGCAAATCACTTATTGAATTTGAAAGGTTGACCCAAGTTTCAAAGTTTCCCTTTTCTTTAAACTATGAAGCATGGGTGTACCTACTTATTACTTCTCACATATTTATCTTAAAACACGATTCCAGAAATTCTTACTAAACAATATTCCTATAAGAAACACCAATGTTTACATTTTTACGTCTTTTCCCTTGGGACATGTTTGTAAATTAAAATCTGCCCTAAGCCGTCGTCATAGAAATGTGATTATGTGCACTCCCTGTTTTTATGGCTTTTTATACATTGTGTAAGTTTTTGTGTTCCTAGTGAATAGTATCATAATTCCCTTCATAGGGAACATGCAACGCCATTTGTTTTAATATTTCCCTCGTAACCGTTTTGACATTAATAGTTTTTAAAAATTCCAATATAGAATCGAAGTGAAGGTGCAAGAAATGAATGTTTCAACAATTTAAAAAATATTAAACTACATCCAACCTCACTTAATAGAGAACCACTCCAATTGCCGCCCAATGGTTCCACAGTGAGAGACTCGTGCATTATTTCTGTAACATGTTGTGTACATGCCTTTTCAGCCTAAACTATTCAGTCAATGATAGCAAATGATGTATCATTTGAAAGCTGGAAGTCCATGTCTGCACGTATAGTTTACGTTTATGTGTGTCGTATAAACATTAATAGGATTTTTTTAAAATATCGACATCACGCACAACCTGTCGGTAAGGCGGGTTGCATCGACCTCAGGCAACGTAACACGGCGAGGATGGTGACAAAGAGTTGGGTGGGTTTTAGAAGGCTAGAGTAGGCTAGTGCAGACCAGGCCACACTAGGGCTAGGGCAGGGCATGCCAGACTACGCTAGGTCAGACAGGGAGAACATATCCTCTAGACAGAATGTATTCCTTTTCTTGTCTGAATAGATGAATAAGGTAAAAAATATCAAGACTATTAAGAGGATTCGGTTTTAATATTCCCGTCTGAATTAATCGCCCTGGTTTCGCAGTGGTTATAAATTAGTTTTGCATCTTTTCGCATTACTACAGCAGCATCTTGAATGTTGATGGGAAATATTGGAGATTGTACTTAACAAACGAGGTCTGACCTAAGCGAACTTTCCTTAATAATAATGATAATAATGATAATGATGATAATGATAATAATAATAATGGTAATGATAATAATAACAATAATAATAACAATAATAATAATAATAATAATAATAATAATAATAATAATAATAATAATAATAAACTCCATATGTGGTGTCCAGGGATTTCAATAGAATAGCTCCATGGGAACTCCCCCTGTCGTAAGAAGCGACAACGTTTCTGTCAAGAATAATAAATCCTTCCTCTCACACCTCTTCCCCACTTCCCGGAGCCGGTGGATCAAGAAGTTTTGAGGCTTCTGGTACCTATCAAAATTATTCCTTTGACGCACTTTTCCTACATATCTTAGTACTCTTTCCTCAGATATCGGAAAAGAGAAGACCCATTGACGGGGTAACAAGGTGAAGATTTCAAAGGCCACAACAGCAGGAAGGGCAATCCTGTCTATGGGGTTGATTGTAGGAAAGCATGGTTGGATGCTTAGAGATGGCAGCCCCATCACCAACCAAACCCATCGCAATATGGTGAATGCAATAGTCGTAAGGCCTCGGAAAAGGAGTCGCTGCCTGGGGATCGTCAGGGCGCGGTTGGAGCCATGGCTGGCCGTGATAGCTTGCGAGCCACTGGTGGAGTGTTACTGAATAGACGGGCACACACAGGAATATCCGAAACTATCACATCCAATGAAGACGGCAATCAAGAACTAACCGCACCCGCTGATAGTGTTTCTCGGATATTACTCGAGACCATTTAAGCAGGACTCTGCCGCGTTGGAGAATACAATGGGCTGTTGACATGAACGAAGCCATTGTCAGAATTTATCTCCGTATCACCCGCTACGGAACAAATTGTTTAGGTTACCAGCAGGAAATATATAGAAACTTTTTGGAACAATACTCACAACTATCCCATGTTACGGAACAGAATGTTGCTGATCGAAGAGCATTAATTTACAGTTCTGGAAAGTATGTCTCTCGCTTCCGAATACAGGAAATTGAGGCCGAAGTTAAGGCAGGAATGCAACGACATGGAAATGGAAAGGAAATGAAGCTCCCAGTATCAGTGTAACCTCTGAATTACAGACACAAGATTTAGACTACAACACAATGGCATGATCATATCATAGGTCCCTGGCTGAGCGAGGAAATCAAATTGATAACGATGGCCGATTCATTGAACAGCTTAATCAGCAATATGAATACAAAACAATAAAATATTCCGGACTTTCTCTTCACTTTAGATCTAAAATTCGAAGGCAACAAAAACTCAACAAAACTGGCAACCTTAACTAAGTTAACAAATGAAGACAAATGAAGTGACAGAACAAGTGAATATATAATTGCCAACGAAATTACATGTGAACAACCTGACCAGTCACTTACAAATATTGTATAGCGCTGACAATCGTTTAGTGGAAAAATTATTGAAACCCAGCAGGCATTTGGCAGAGTGTACATACCACTTTGAAAGAGACGGCTGGAGGAAAAAAAAGAACTCGGATCTAATATTGCTCGTCTAGACGGCTTCCAAAGGGAAAGTTAAAAGGCGCGCATTAGGAGAAAAGTGTCGAGAATTAAAACGCAATATTATAAGCATGCGCCGTGTAACAACGAAAATAGAATATTACTGATGTTATAGATCCTCTTAATCAACAACTGAGTCTCTATTCTCAACGACTGCGTCGCTATACCAGAAGTTTTAGAAAGAAAAAAAGACTATTAGACTTTTTTCTAAAAACCAGATGATGTTCTACTAAAATATGAGGAGATACTATTGTTAATGAAAGTTGCCTCAGAAGTCGGCAGTAGAAAATAACTGGGCCGAAATATGGTCACCAGAGAGTCATTTCCAATCTAATCCAATGCTTTCTGCCTGAGCGAAGTGTCGAACATCTCAAATAAGATCAAAGATATTAAAGTTTCTGATATATCAATGCGTGTTCTAAAAGCGGTCATTAAAATATCACAAATTGAAAATGTCCTGGTCCAGATGGACTTCATAATTTCAAGATTAAAAGACTGACCTGTCTGCATGAGAAGATTCTGATGCTCAAAAATGATTATCTGAAGCATTACCAATGGTTTTGTGCAACCTTATCACCTCCGTGTTGCCAAAAACAAGTTGTCTCAGACTTCGAACAATTTCAATCTATCACTTGCCTTAATGCATTAAATAAAATAATAACTGTTTAAAATTCGTGAAGCTAGAACAACATTGCGAACGAAACTATATTCTCTCGAAGCCCGTTTCAGTAAGGCTGTTTCAGGAATTCGTTGGGTTGCAAGGAGTTGCTTGTGGTAGACATCATGTTTAAGGCATCTGACAAAAAGCGCGATCTCCATACTTGTTTTATTGACTCTAAGAAGGCATTCGACATGGTTCCACATGACTCGCTGCTGTATATTTTAAAAATGTGTGGTATTAATCATGTAATCGTAAGATTTCTGATGTGCGCAATGAAAAACTGATTAACAACAATACATTTGTCATCAAGTAATAAAATCATTGTCACCAATACAAGAATCCACAAAGACATCTTTCAGGGTGATAGTCTCAGCTCTTCGTGGATTTGTGTAGACGTGAATCCCCTCTCCCTTTTGTTGGAAAACATGGGAGTAGGATATGAACTGAAAGTCTAGGGAAATGTAATAAGTCATCTGGCGTACTTAGACGATATCAAGCTGTACTCGGGAACCTTACAGGGACTTAAGCGGCTTATACACGTCACCGAAATTCTCCACCGACCTAGCCATGTAATTTGGTATTGAAAAATGTAAAATCCAAAGCGTCAGTAAAGGTAAACCCACCAGCGCAATAGAGTACGAAACTATGTCAAGAGATATTATAACAGCCTTAGAAGCAGATAAGCTGTACAAATACCTTGGAATTCATCAAAACAAGTTAGTTGCGCACTTGAAATTAAAGCGAAAGTACAGTTGGAATTTGTTAAGAGAATGAAACATAATTTAAAAAGCTTTCTCAACTTACCAAATCTTACAGCAATTAATATGTACACACTGCCAATTATTACATTTACATTGGGATCATCAAATGGTCGAAAAGGAATATTGAATATTTCGAAAGGCTAATCAATGCCCAAATAATCCGCTTCCAACTTCACCATCCAAAAAGTTTAATCCAAAGGGTCACACTCTCAAAAAGATGGGAAGTCGTGACATCCTTAAAATCAGCAATATCCATACAAAACAGACCATCAGCACGAGGGCGTACTTCCAGGCGAAAGCTGTATCATCTCATCTACCTAGTGTCACAGGAAGTAGATGATAACTAGTATACTCCGTTAAGCCTCAACCGACCGAATTGAACTCCAGCTACCATCCTTCGATCGAGAGATGGATCTATGGAAGCAAAAGGCAATTCGCGGTACATATCCAGCTGAAGTAGCCATGTCGACGCTGGACAAATTCCAATGCCGACGCTGATATGTTGTACAAATGACTCAGTATTGGATACCTATATTCCAAAACTGACGGTTTAATGGTTGCAATCCAAGACCAAATAATTGCAACCACAAATTATTTGCATCAAAGATCCAGATTTGCCGTCTGATGATTATCGGGCCTGTCGTCACTGTAGCGAGACTATTCAGCATATAATCTGAGGCTGTAGTGTACCAGCTCCCACTGAGTATAATACCAGACACGATATTGTGGGACAAATTATCCATGCTCAACTTGTCAAGATCTGTCGTTTAGCACCATGCCATGATACACCATATTACAAAACATCTATAAACTCTATTGGGACTAAATTTTACTGACAGATCGAACTTGTGCCCCACATCACACCACACCACACCACACCACACCAC